TTATATATATATATAGGGCTGCAACATCCAATCGATAAAATCGATAATAATCGATAATGAAAATAATCGACAACAAATGTCATTACCGATTAGTCGTGTCTGCCCACCGAGCATGGAAAACTTCCACCAGTCACGTCAAATTACAGCAATGAATAATGCATTTCTATGGATGAAATGCATCTTAAAATAGCAAATGAAACAGAGTGACCTGCTGCGGGAAAGATGTGTGATCCAAGCTGCCCGAAACATGAAAATGCTTTACTTTAAACTTCAACGCAGTAAAGAGGGAGATATCAGAAGCTGTCGTTTAGTCTTTATTTACAAACTTGGACACCACAAGCGGCTATTGACTGACCACGAACAGGAAATAGAACTTACTTGCTGCATTTTTGCGCGGTCTTGCTGTTTTTTTTTTTCTTTGAAAAATAAAATTTTGGGCTAAAAGTGTGTTACGCATGCGTTACTGAACATGTACAGAGTAAAATATTACTGAAAATTGATTAGTAATTCCTTACACTACTGCGTTACAGCAAAAAGCAATCAGTTACTGTAATGCATTACTTTTGTAACGCGTTACTCCCAACACTGCCTAGCAACACTTCAGCGGCCACACACATAGCCTTCGACACTATAGCTCAGACAGTTAAAGATGTGCTTGTATTATCCAAATAACTCTAAAAAATTATTTTTTGAGGTCACTGCGTTCTGTCATAATAATGCATGTCAAATACACCAGACCTTTGTTTAAAATATCAATATTATATTGATCAACAATGACACATGCTTAACTATATGCCTATATTTTACTGTAAAGTAAACAACACTAAAAACATTGTGTGGGTCAATGACAAAAAGACAGTCTGTGATAAGAAAAGGGAAAATCATTTAAATATAATTTAACACACAAGTGCCATGTTCTAAAAAAAAAAAATATATATATATATATATATAACACTTTTTAACCACAAATGCGCGACTTTTGTAACGCGTTACTCCCAACACTGCCTAGCAACACTTCAGCGGCCACACACATAGCCTTCGACACTATAGCTTTTTCTCTCTTCAAACTACCCAAGCATTCAAATTACTTTAAACCAAATCATGTATTTACTGTAATACTTATTTATGACAGAGGTCTGAAATCCACAGCCATTGCCTTCACCCTGTGAACAGTGGAACTGTGCTTCTGGCAACATGCGTCCCACCGCATCTGCCGTGTTTGTGGAAATGTATGTGGATCAAAGCAGATTTAGATGAGATTGAATGAAAATGTGTTCTTTAATCAGTCACTAATGCTCCTCATGCTCATCCACCTAAATCAACTTCCTGAAGATTACAGGAAACCTCTCGCATCAGTCAATTAGGCTTACCCTTTTACAGAAATTACCAGAATTCAATTTCAAAAATGAAAATGGTCTAAAAACATATATACTGTGTAAAGCAAAAATGTGTAGAGATTTGACAGGTACACTTTCAAATGATTTTACAAAGTGTGACCAAGCACCTAGATTCAGTAAGCGAGTAGATCATGCAAATAAGAAATATCCTTGAAAGGTTATTACCTTTTGATCGACTATGGAGCAGACCAAATCCATCACAGAACTGAGGGACAGATCGTGTGGCTCCAGGGTGACCATCTCCCTGGTAAGTCCGATCTGAAGGAGGAAGGACACTCCGTGGAGGGAGCTGGTGGGGCTCGGAACGCTGTGATTCCCATTGGAGAGACGGACACAGAGTGGCACCGGAGGGCTGGGTGATGGAGAAGGGGTTGGGGGTGCAGTCTGATGCTGAGAGTGGGCGAAGGGTTTAGGTAAGGTCAGAGGAAAGGTGCTACTACTGGCAGACATTAGTTTCTTCCACAGATTGAAAGTAAACCGTGTAAAACTGACAAGCTTGGAAACCGTGGCTGATATCCAGTGAGTGAGCAGGTTGTGTTTTAATTAAACGCAATATTCTTCTGTCCTAAGGCAGGTGAGCAGAATCGCCGCAGTCATGTGCAATCCGTGGTGTACGAGGTAGCGAAATTGGACCCAAGAATAAGGCGCCTATTTTTCGCTAAGTTTCCCTCTAAAAACATGCAATCCGGATAGCATGCTTCATGGCTGGCTGTGTGATTTCCAGCACTTGTTGCACATGTTGGATTGAGAGTGTCACTCCACGGCTGAGCAATCAGGATGCCAGCGTGATGCTTAACAAAGTGGCTTCCATTGTCATCCAGCTCCTCATTCAACTCTCATTCCTGTTTGAAACAAAACAGATTCAAGTCTTTATTTCCCTGAATGGGGGGTACAGAGCTCATCAAGCCATTATCTACATGCATAATAAGCATAACTTCAAACTCAATGTATTCTGGAAGAGTTTTGCACATTTTTGTCTTTTGCCATGAAGAACTCCAGCTCACATCTGGAAGCACATCTGGAGACCCTCCCACTCTAGATCACATAACTGGCACAAGACCACAAATACCAGCAAAACAAGTTATACAATGTCTTTGTTCAGGCTTTATCATCATGATAAAAATCTAAAAGGATACACTGAAGACAAGAGGAAAAGAGAGGAAACATACATTTAATGCTAGAAAGGCGTTTCCATAACAAGTGAAGAGATGAAGAAAAACTTACTATCAATGGAAAACGAGGACTTGAACGCCTCTGGGTTTCTTTTTTTGAAGCTTCTGAGGCTTAATTTAGCCAGTAAGCATCGCTCGGTCATAGAGTCCCTTACATGAGCTCGATTTGAAAACTTTCTATCCTCGTTTCATGTTACATTCTGCTACTTCAAACGCGCCTCAATATCTGCTCTCCGTTTCCGCGGGCAAATAAGAAACAGCGCCCAGACAGAGAAAGTAAAACCTGAAGGAAACGGCAGGTCTGTCGAGCTGAAGAAGTGAAGTTGAGCTTCAGAAGTGCAGAAATGTTTTTCTCTTTCTCTCGCTGCCTGACGCGCATGTCTCTCACGCGCAGTTTCCGTTAATAAGCGCGGAGCGTGTGTTCGCGCCCTCTACCGGCGTCATTCCACAGCCACTATGACGCAATAACGCTTTGTAGCGTCCTGAACATTAGTTACATTCTAGCAATATTTCTTTCTTGCTGTAATCTGCGATTGTCCACAAAGCTCATATTGTTTGCTCATTAACTACAAATAGGAGGGATCATATTTTTATTTATTTTTACGGCCCTAAATAATCTATTTCACCTAACAATGTGTACATATAGCCCTCAAGAATAATAATAATAATAATAATAATAGCTGAATTTACACAAATGACTCCATTCAAATATTAACATACATTTAATTCTTAATACTCCATCGTTACCTGGATGATATGTTTTGTGACAGTAACTGTGAGCAGTTATGTATTTTCTGTACATTCTTTGGTTTTCCAGCATCTTCTGCAAACCCTTTCCATAAGTAGTTTTTTTTTTCTTTCACCCTGAGGACAGTTGAGGGACTCACACAACTATTACAAAAGTTCATCAGTGCTCAAGGAGACATAAGGATGCATTAAGAGATGGAAAGATCTTATTTTTTATTTTAAAAGCTATACAGACACACTATTTACTCGTTCCAGAAGACAACATACAGTTTGCTGATTATAATTACAGTTACTGATTATAATATTCTCTTAATACAGCTATCAATGCATTGTGTATATATACACTACCAGTCAAAAGTTTTTGAACAGTAAGATTTATTCCTGATTTCAAAGCTGATTTTTTTTTTTGTTGCATCATTACTCCAGTCTTCAGTGTCACACGATTCTTCAGAAATCATTCTAATATTCTGATTTGCTGCTCAAAAAATAAATAAAACAATTATTATTATTATTATTAATATTTAAAACAGTTACAACAGTACATTTTTTTCAGGATTCTTTCATGAAAAAAGTTTGGGATCAGTAAGACTTGTAATGTTTTTTAAAGAAGTCTCTTCTGCTCACCAAGGCTGCATTTATTTGATCAAAAATACAGAAAAAAAACTTGCAAAATGTTATTACAATATAAAATAATGGTTTCTATTTTAATATCCTTTAAAATATAATTTATTTCTGTGATGCAAAGCTGAATTTCAATCAGCCATTACTCCAGTATAAAGTGTCACATGATCCTTCAGAAATCATTCTAATGTGCTGATTTATTATTAGAATTATTGTGCTGCCAAATATTTTTATGGAAACTGCGATACTTTTTTCTGGATTATTTGATGAATAAAAAGTTAAAAAGAACAGCATGTATTCAAAATATAAATCTTTTCTAACAATATAAATCTTTGCTATCACTTCTTAACAATTTAACACATCTATTAAAATAGAAAAACTTTATTTTACATCATAATAATATTTCACAATATTACATTTTTTCCTGTATTTTTGATCAAATGAATGCAGCCTTGATGAGCAGAAGAAACTCCTGTATCTGTCAAATCTATATATATATAATGCATATTAATAGAATCTATAGCATGAAATTAAAGGTGCAGATTAAGAATAACTACTAATTATTTTAAATGGAGAAATCAGTCTGATTATATTACACACATTAAAATATACTTTAAAACAACAAAAAGGCAGGGAAGTGATGAAGTGTCATAATTCATCCCAATAACAGCATCAATGAAATTACAGTGCATAGGCCGTGTAAAATCATTTCAACTTTATTGCTTTAATTCATGAAATTAATACAGATGAATAATGACTGTCAATACTGAGGAAAAGTGGGATCTATCCTCTTAGCCCAGGCCATCAATCCTCCGATGACATCCTTCACAGCGATCTGCTCGATTTCTTGTCCAGACATTTTCTCCAGCAGCTGAACCGCCTTCTGGGAGTCATTGCCAAGTTTGCAAACCACAAACACTACAAGACAATAAAGGTAAACATAAAGACAAAGTAAGTTTATTCACTCCAGTCATACTGCAATTTAAAAGAAGATTCTTTTCCCAAATAAAACACACTATATTGGAATAATTAATTCAGTCTGGAATAATTAAGATTCGTTTAATGTTTCTGAAAGAAATCGCTCACCAAGGTTGCATTTATTTGATCAAAAATGCAGCAACCATGAAAACATTTCATATTTATGTGGACACCGTGACACACTACCATTCAAAAGTTTTGGGTAAGATTTAAGAAAAATATATAACACTTTGGGCATATTGAATGAGCTCAAACAGATCTCATTAAAAACAATAATCTAAAAATTCAAGACTCCAAAAAGACTTGATTATTCAATATTGGGCCAGCTTTTTCTCAAGACTAAGCCATTTCTGTGTTGGAAAATAACTGCATCATCACCACCTCATCATCCATCCAAGAAAAGCGAGGTAGCTGGCAACACTGTTCTCCAAATGCTTAATTAGCTTGAGAAAACTCAGGTTAGGCCTCCTCTGTGCTCAGAATACTCAACACGTCTAATGAGGGCTGGCTGGCTGTGGGCATCTGGCATACAGACAAGCGCTTACTGTGTATAAAGATAGTATCACTTAAGATGTACAGCTCTACACAGTCAGTTTTCAGATCTGCTCAGTGGATGAACTTATTTTTCAGCACCATGTTTGTTTGAGCAAAAAGAACGGAGATGCAGGAGCATGGAGTGTTAAACACTGATCACAAAAAAATGGCATGTAACAAAAATGATTCTTAAAAGGGTTCTTACCTGGGACTTGAGATTTGTTGTCCATCTGTTGTTTATGGTCACTAATTGTATCTTTTAAAAGAGTGATGTGCTCAGCCTTTTTATTCTCTAGACTAGAAAGTGGAATGTCTGTCATGCAATGTAAGGAAATGAAACAGAAGGAATTAACTCGATTTTTACATTTTCTTAAGACAGGGTTGTCAAAACCGCCTTCAGGCTTTCTCTCACACTCTCACACCACCCAACTAAATGTCATATCAAATAATAAGACAACATAAAATAAATCACTAAATCTGCTCAGGACTTGGTTGGAGTAGTCTGAAGCAGAAAGATTCTTCACCAATCAAATTTCTTCCAGCACTTCATAAGGTAAATACTGTACTACTATTGTATACAGCAGGGGTTCTCAAACCTTTTGGCGCCAGGGACCCCACAGGGCAGAACATTTTCTCATAAACTCCCTCATAATTATAACAGTGATTAAGCATATACTTTGTACAATTTGTATCCTTAAATGCCACTGGAACTTACACTTTACTTTTTCTGGATTCAGGTGTCAGCCCCCCCCCCCACCAGCATTTCATTTTTCTCAAATGAAATGCTGGTGAAGTGACTCTCAGAGCAGCTCTCATGTGGACCACATATTTAAATAGCATTGTTTTTTTCTGCTTTAATATTCACAAACACTAATCCATATCGCAATTTCATTAAGTGTACAGCAATACCAAATTCCGTGACATTCCTTGTTCCATGTCTTTCCGTATCTTTATTACTGGAATCCACAAATAAGTCCACATTTTCTGCATCGCAGAAATCATAGGGCCCTAAAATTATTTCGCAGCCCCCCCAGCTATGGGTTGCAGACCCCACTTTGAGAACCTCTGGTATAGAGTACCAGACAAAAAAACATGATGAAACACCAGCGGCAGTGAGAACAGTGTTTGTGCCCCACAAATTCAACATCTGCCAAGTGGGTAAAAGTTATATTTGCAGGATGACTGTAGTGAGTTTTTCACACACAAAAAAAAGAGGACACTGGCAGACGGACTAGTGGAGGAGCTTTTATCCTTTTAATGGTAAATCTAAAATAAAATTGTTAATGCATTATTAATCATTACTCTAAGCATATATATACTACTTACACAACTTGTTAAATGTTAAAAATGTCTTAGTATATGCAGAAATGAACATGAACTACTATTTATAAATGTATAAAATGAGCAATGTTCGCTGTCAGTTCATGATACAGTACCGCATTAATTAACAGTAACAAGTCTTATTGTAAAATTATTACCGTATTGACCCGAATATAAGACGATGTTTTTTTCTTGGAAATACATCTGAAAAAACGTGGTCGTCTTATATTCAGGGTCTAGACGTTGACATGTCAATAATACACCCACAACAATAGGTGGCGCCAAATACGCATAAAACGAGTGTGCCATGAAATACGTAATGTAATGCGTGTTGGAAAGATCGCCAGTAAAAACAAAAGAAAAAGAAAACCTGACAGCTGCA